CTGGGGTTAGGGCACATCTGTCCTCGCTGGGCAGCCAGAGGACTGTAGCTCTGGTCTACAGTCTAAGTCCTCAGAACTGTCACGAAGCTTGCCTTCCCCTCCCCCACCCAACCCCCCAAAAAGAGCTACTTGAGAAGAAACTGTACTTTCTTCTCCCCAAGCCGTCTGCTTTTTAACTAGGCTAAACGATCTGGGAAAACTGGGTTGGTATCCCCAATACCTGGGGCAGAGAGGCACCTGATTACAGGTAGAATTCAAGTTCCCTATAGATAAGGGGTGCAGCAGGTTCTCAGAAAGCAAGTCCTGTCACGAGGAAGAAGGTCATGGAATTGGGGTCTGGCCACAGTAGTCTGGCTCTTCCCACGGCCAGGCTGGTGCTAAGAGTACTAACATGCGCACCCTCCACCTGCCCAGAAGAGCCCTTCGGTCCTGACTCCTAAGAGGGGAGCTGGCTGACAGGCTTGCTGCCATGCAGCTGCAAGCAGGCAAGACTAGACAGGGCAGGAGGTGGCGCCGAGGCCTTAGGGCAAGCAGGCTGCCACCTGGTAAGCGCCCTCCGCGGCTGCCGCGGCAGCACTGTGCTGGGCACTGTGCTCCTGTAGCAGGGCCACATCCAGAAAGCGTTCACCACACCACACACACTTGAACTGCTGCTCTCGGGCGTGCACACCCTGGTGCTTGTTGAGATGTTCGCGCTGCTTGAAGGCTTTATCGCAGTTGGGGCACTTGTAGGGCTTCTCACCCGTGTGGACCCGGCGGTGGCGCTGCAGGTCTGAGGCGTACTTAAAGCGCTTCTCGCAGTCCGGACACTTGAGTGGCTTCTCCCGGGCCGGGTCACAGCGGTGCTGCACGAACTCCGAGGAGGAAAAAAAGCGGCGCTCACACAGGGTGCAACGCAGAGGCTTCTCGGCGGCAGCACAGTGCGACAGCTGGTGCTTCTGCAGGGCAGATGCCCGCTTGTAGGCCTTGTTACACACAGGGCACTTGAAGGGCCGCTCTGTGGAAGTTGGCAGGCACTTGTGCCGCAGCAGCTCAGCTGACTGGTCGAAGCCCTTCTGGCACACCGGGCACTTGAAGAGAGTTTCCAGGGTGTGCACGTGCTGGTGGTAGAGCAGATGGCTGGGCTGTCCGAAGCCCTTCTCACACAGGCCGCACTTAAAGGGTTCTTCCGTCTTGTGTGTGCGCCGGTGCCGCATCAGTGCGTACTGCTGCTTGAAGCCCATGGGGCACAGGTCACACTTGAAGGGCCTCTCGGCACTGTGCGTGCGCTCATGCTGCCGCAGGTCCGAAGGCCGCTTGAAGGCCTTCTGGCACTCGCCGCAGCGAAAGGGCCGCTCGCCGCTCGGGGTACAAGGGTGCTGCAGTAGCTCGGACGACTCTTTGAAATGCAGCTCGCACACGTTGCAGCGGAACAGATGATGCTCACCGGAATGTGCGTACATGTGGCGCACCAGGTGGGAACGGTGCTTGAAGGTCTTCTCACAGACAGCGCATTTGTAGGGCCGCTCTGAGCTGTGTGTGCGCTTGTGGTGCACTAGGTGAGAGGACTGACTGAAACTCTTGTCACACAGCGTGCACTTATACGGCTTCTCTCCGGTGTGGATCCGCTCATGCCGGGAGAGCTCCGACAGATGCTTGAAGGGCTTCTGGCAAATGGGGCAGCTATAGGGTTTTTCTGGCTGTTCCACAGGGGCTACATTAGCGGGTGGAGGTGCTGAGGGCAGCGATGGGGCAGTGGTGGTGGCTGGCTCGGCAGCCTCGGCTGGCTTGTAGGTCTTATCACAAATGGAGCACTTGACCATGCCAGTGTGGGAGCTGTGGTGTTGGGCCAGTGAGGTGAGCAGGGAGAAGCCCATTTTGCAAACACCACAGACAAAAGGCTTCTGCTCCGCCTGCACACACTGGTGCTCCAGCAGGTCGGTGGCCTGATGGAATATCTTGAGACATTGTGTGCACTGAAATGAGCGGTCATGGCCTGCCAGGCACTGGTGCTCGTGTGGACTGGACAGGTGTGCCAGATCATGGCCACAAACGCCGCACTTGGGGCCTGGCTCCCCTGCCTGCAGGGGTGCATGCTGTGGGGGCTGCAGGCCTGGGTCAGGTTGCAAGAGAATGCCATACACAGCACAGCCCAGTGGGTTCTCGGCCGTGCCCGGGGACAGAGTGTGTTCAGCCAGGGCTGGTGGTGGCTCTGCGTGGTGCTGAGGCTGTGGTGCCTGTGGCTGTTGTGGCTGAGTCTGTGGTGGCTGCTGCCAGCTTTCTGACATGCTTGGGAAGATGAAACTGGGTTTGGACAGTAATGGCTTCAGTTTCCCGCTTAAGGTGAACCTAACCCTGAGAGAGAAGCTACCGGATCTCAGGAACAGGCAAGAACCTCACACAAGGCACAGAGGTCTTGTCAGATAGCCCTTGTCATTTACCCAAGAAGATAGTCTACAGGACAGGGGGGTCTTCGAGACAGGGTCCCAGCAATGCCAAGAAGGCTCTGCCTTCCCCAGTAATCGGTTCTGTAGGGAAGAGAGACACAGTGAACTTGTGGCAGAAACAAGCTGCTCCTCCCTTTTCCCTTGCTGCCCCACTCACTCCACAGACATAAGCTTCTTTAGGGGACGGAGACGCTCAGGGATCGAGCCCTGCTCCTCTCACATGCTCTCAAAGAGGCAGCTCCTCTCCTCCATGCAAAGGGGAAGGGAGCTTTCTCCATACCCACTTTCTTCATTCCCTATCCTGGGCAGGGCAAGTCAGCCTCCAGAAAATCCCCTCTAGTTCTCATATGGCCTATTCGGTCAGATGTCTCACAGAGTCTGGGGTGATCTGTCCCTCTAGCCTGACAGCCCCTTTCACATTGACATGAGAGAACATCACTGTTTAGAATCCAGAGGATCCTGATGGCTGAAGGAAGCCACGCCCCTGAGGTATGAGTCCTAAGGCACAAGGATTCTGGAAGTTAATATTAAGGCAACAATACTAAGGACCACCTAAAAACCCTCTCCTTTGAGGGACTGGTCTATGTTCCTCTTCACCTGCACTCCAGCCCTTTCCTAGGGCACATGCCACTCTAGTTTAACAGGATAAATGGCCTTGCAGGGGACCCAAACTTCTGACAAGGAGGGCTAAATGACAGGTTTATAGACCCACTGATAGTGGAGCTCCTCCAAGCTGAAATTCTCACTCTAGTCATCTCCCAGAGGAACACAAACAGAAGTCCCACACCCTCTGAGTCTTTGACTGTCAAGGTGTAAGAAATTGTACTGTTTGCCTGAATTGTACAGGATAAATCATGCCCCGGGTGTCTCTCCTCCAAGTCCAAAATATTCACAGTAATCACTGCAAGATAAAAGCCCACCCAACCCACTGTCCCACCCCACCCCAGCAAATCTCTAATTCACCACTTTGAGGCAGTGTAAAGTAATCCCATTGAGAGGATTGTTTTTGGAATCAAAGGCAACCCCCTTTTCAGGTTCTTAGCTCATCGGCCGCTTAGATTTAAAAGTTTGCAAGTTTTCTCTAAGAGGAGGAACGTAGAGAATGCCCCCATGAGCCAGCCTGGCTTCTAACTGGTCGCTTAAAGAAACCTAAGAATCAAACTAAAAGTTGTCACCCTCAGCATCTTCTGGGAAAGGAGGGGATAAAGAGGCTGCTGCTTTGGGGTAGTGCCTAGGAGTATGAACAACCAACTACAGCTGGTCATTTTAGCGTTCCTAAAGTAGAGAGGAGAGGTGCACTGCACTGAACACTGTCTGATCTAGCGGTACTAATCCAACTGTGTGTTATTTTTCCTGGTATGAATGGCTGCCAGCCCCAGCGGCCGCCCCCATTCCCCACCTCCTTGAGCAACCCCACTGCCTATCCTGACCCTTCTCCAGGAAGAAGCCAAGAACACTCTCGGATCACTCCTCAAGGACCGGAGAGAGAAGTGGGGAGGAAACGCAAGGAGAAGCCCCCATCTGCGCCCCACCCTAGCCCTTTTTCCTCTCTGGGTAACCGAATGAAAGCTGATCACCTCCCATCAGGCCCAGCTGGGCTACCTCCTGTCAGCTCTTGCTCCGGATGGCCCAGCCACTGCGTCCCGAAAAGGGGGTGGTTCCGGCCGAGGAAGGCCCCAGAGCCTCAAACGGTCCCCGGGAAGCAACTGTGTTTCCAGGCCCAGCCTGGACCGCCTCAGAGCTCAGGAGGCAATCCCTGGGAGCAGGGGCTACCGGAATGGCCCCCAGATGCAGTCCCGGGTGCCCTGCCACTCACCTGCTCCAGGGGTCAGGCGCGGGGCAAGCGGAGACCAGCTGCTTTCTCTGCCGCCTCTTTATTCCGGCTCCATCCGCCGCGGCGCGGCCTATGCGCCCTGCCAATCCCCGGCCTCACGTAGCAGAGGCAGGCAACGCGGAGTCGGGAGACAGGTTTGTGGCAGCCGGAACCGACGAATCGACCCGCGCACTCGGGTTAGCGGGACCGGGGCAGCGGACGGACTGGAGAGCGGACAGACCGACGGGTCCTGCAGAGACCGGCGGACAGGCGGTCGGCGCGAGGCCCGGTAGGCGGGGCCGGGGGAGGAGCAGCAGTCGGGGCGGCGGCTGCTGAGAAGCCCGCGGCGCGGAGCGAGACCGCCCCCTGTCGGGGACCCGCGGCCCCGCTGGCCCGAGCCTGTGGGTACGGAGGGGCGGGGCTGGAGCCTTAGGATCCGCTCGTCGGAGCCTACAATCGCGGAGGAGCCCGGATCCAGCCCCGGCTCGCTGCTGCCCCACCTGACTCTCCAGCAGCTGACGTGCCGCTCAGCTCGCTCTCAGGAGGGACCTTGGGACTCCAACTTTTTGCAAGTCCGGCAAGCGGACCCGCAGACCTGTGGAACCGGCACTAGGACACTGGGGCGACGGAGCGATCCAGAAAGCCGCCTACAGCGTTTACCGCACAGGCAGTGGGCGCAGTCCGTTCTACGGATCCGCTGGGCTTCGCCCCGGGTCGCCAGGCCCCGCCCCGAGGTGGAGCTACTCTAGGTCCCGCCCCAGAGAGCACTTCCGGCTCAGCGGAACTCGGGCCGCCGGATCAGGTTGTCGGTGAACCGGACTTGTGGTCGAGGCCCCATGAGCGCGGCGCCCCTGGTGGGCTACAGCAGCAGCGGTTCGGAGGATGAAGCGGAGATTGTCGCCGCCGGGCGGAGCAAACCGGGGTCTGGACTCCACCGTTGGTGAGGAGTGAGGAATTTTTCTCTCTAGAACGCAGATTCTTTTGATACCCCGTTGGGACCCTAGCGACCCCGGTAACCCGGAGGGTGGGTCGATTCCCCGAGAAGAAAAAAATGGGACGTTGAGGGAAAAGGCTCAGAACACACTCTGGACAAAGCCCTAGAATGACACACACCCCACTTTGGCTAAGGCAAAGTTGGGAGTGAGAACACTGGTTCAATCCTCTCCGCTGGTGCATTTTTCTCCTTTGGTGCACCAACTATGTTTCTAACAAGATGCTTCCTCATTTGAACACAATGCAATAATAACCCAAGCTTTTCATTCATCTAGTAAATGGTTAATGGATAGCCACCGGGAGCCACACGGGAGACTGGAGACTCCAGACTGGAGCAAAACCCATGAAAATCTTATACTGCAAGAGGCTTATTCTTCAAGGCTCTTAAATACTGGTCTTTGCCGAATGTTGTCAGGTCATTGTGCAAGAGCTCTATCAAATAGAAAAATGCTCTATGGAAATTAATGTAAGCCAAGATCACAGACTTGAGTTCAGGCCTGTCCCAACTATCTAATAGGGACTTCCGAGTCACACTGCTACCTGCTGAAGTTTTCCCATGGGGACCAAGAGCCCGCTGTAGTCTGCCTCTCAGAGTAGCTAGGAAACTCCAGTAGTTCTAGAAAGCTATGGCTCTCTAGAAGAAACTCAAACACCTTCCTGCAAATTTATACTCAGCTACTGTGGCTGAGAGAGGAGGATCAAGTTTGAGGCCAACCTGGGCTACACGGCAAGACCGATGTGCATAAGAATCACTGTGCTTAGTAAGGGCTCGGAACTTTTGTTGTATGTGCAAAGAGAGATAAATGGAGATAAATGTTTGTTCTTCTTTTGCAGTGGCCAGAACCCCGTTCCCAGTCAGAGGTTTCCAGTGCCTGACAGTGTGCTGAGCATGTTCCCCAGCACGGAAGAAGGACCTGAGGATGACAGTGCAAAGCATGGGGGTCGCATCCGAACCTTCCCCCATGAGCGGGGTAACTGGGCCACCCACATCTACATACCATGTGAGTCACTTCCTAATAGCAAATGGTGAAGAAAAAAAAAAAAAAACACCAAGAACACGTGCCTCTAGCTATGGCGAGGAGGAAAAAAATCAGGGCCCCTGTGTGCTGGACTCATGTCCCACCCCAGACCTGAGGAGGTGACAGATCACCTCACTGCTGAATTAGACCCCCCTGCACTGTGTGTTCTGTAAGTTACTGGGCGTCTCAGCGTCTTCACTTCTGCGCCTCTAAAGTGGGGGTGATAGTATCTATCTCTTTGGAAGATTAAATCAGATCATCTATGCCAAGTTCTCAGCACCACAAAGTCGTGACTCTGATTTTGTGTAGACACACCCATTATCAGTGTCCGCCATCCAGAGTGCCGAATTACTCACAACCACAGCCGATGAACCCACTTTGTTGTTGTTTTCTGATTTTTTTGTTTTGTTTTTTTTTTCTTTTTTGGTTTTTTGAGGCAGGGTTTCTCCACGTAGTCCTATCTATCTGTCCCAGAACTCACAGATCTGCTTGTCTCTGCCTCCCCGATGCTAGACTTAAAGGTGTGTACCACCACCACCTGGTCTGAGCCCACACTATAGTCACCAAACTTCACAGTTTGTATTATAGCTAATTCTTTTTTTTTTTTTTTTAGATTTTTTAAATTTTATGTATATGAGTTCTCTATCCGCACATACAGCTGCATGCCGGAAGACAGCATCAGATCCCATTACAGATGTTTGTGAGCCACCATGTGGTTGCTGGGAACTGAACTAAGGATTTCTGAAAGAGCAACCAGTGCTCTTAACCTCTGAGCCATCTCTCCAGCCCCATGGCTAATTTTTGATGTTGTACATTCTATGAGTTTGGACAGACTTAAAAAGGTGTGCATCTGTATTAACATGTTACTGCTATAAGAATCCTTCATCCTCAACTTAGCCATCCATGCCCTCCACTGACCATCTGTTCCCATGAATTTGCCATCTCCAGAATGTCACAGAATTGGGTCATTCAGTATATAGCCTTTTCACATGGCCTCTTTGGAGTAGCAATGTACATTCAAGGCTCCTGGGTGCCTTGTCACATCTTGATAGTGCATTTCTCATTAACTAACATTTCATTGTCTGGCTCTACCACAGTTCACCTACTCAGGGAGATTTTGGCTGTTCCTAAATATGAGCAGATATGCATAAAAATGCATTAGGCTGGCCTGGTGTGGTGGCACATGTCTTTAATCTCAGGCTTTGGGAGGTAGAGGCAAGTGGATCTCTGAGTTCTAGGCCAACCAGAGCTATATAGGGAGACCCTGCCTCAAAAAAATAAAATAAAATATGTGTGTGCATGTGTGTGTCCATGCATGTGTGCCACAGGCTTTTGAGGACATGTCTCAGCAGCTTGTGTAAATGATAAGGAATGTGACAGTATGTTTAGTTTTTTTTTTTTTCTTAAAAAAAAAAAACCACCAAATTTCTCCACCATTTTACATTTCCAACGGCCGTGAGTAGGAGTGTCCTGACCTGCACTCATTGATGCCATTGGTCTGCAGTGCTGAGTAGCGCTGTCTCTCTGGAGACTGATAGGAAACATCTTCCACATGCTTTTTGGTATCTGTCCGTCTTCCTTGATAAGTTGTTTATTAGGATTTGGAGCCTATTTTTTGTTTGTTTGTTTGTTTGTTTGTTTGTGTGTGTTGTTGTTTGTTTTTTTCCAGACAGCCCTGGCTGTCCTAGAACTCACGGTGTGGCTATATTTTAATAAACTTTTCCTTCCTTCCTCCCTCCCTCCCTCCCTCCCTCCCTCCCTCCCTCCCTCCCTCCCTTCCTTCCTTCCTTCCTTCCCCTTTGTTCTTTCTTTCTTTGACAGAGTATCACTTTGTATCCCTGGCTGGCCTTGAGCTCACTGAAATGCATCTGCCTGAGCCTCCCAAGTGCTAGGATGGTGAACACGTGGCCTTAACCAAGTTTTCTTAATGAGTTCTAACAGTTCTATATTCTTTCTGTATTCTTTATCAGTATTTCTCAGTATGGGACTTTTTTTTTTTAAATCCTCTCTACTGTGTCTTTTAAAGGGCAGACATTTTAAATTTAATGTGGTTGATCTTATTCATCTTCATAGCTAATGACCAATACAGTGGTCTGGATGTGGCACTCAGAGGGACACTTCCCATAAACAGACCCTAGTCACCCACTTCGGCTTATGTTGACTTTCCCTGTTGATTTCTGTTTTCAGTTTATACTGGCTGGTTTTGTGTGTCAACTTGACACAAGCTGGAATTATCACAGAGAAAGGCGCTTCAGTTGAGGAAAAGCCTCCATGAGATCCAGCTGTAAGGCATTTTCTCAATTAGTGATCAAGGTGGGGGGGAGGGGGGTTGCCCATTGTGGGTGGTGCCATCCCTGGGCTGGTAGTATTGGGTTCTATAAGGAAGCAAGCTAAGCAAGCCCAGGGAAGCAAACCAGTAAGTGACGTCCCTCCACAGCCTCTGCAACACCTCCTGCTTCCTGCCTGCCCCGTGTTAGTTCTTATCCTGACTTCCTTTGGTGATGAACAGCAATGTGGAAGTATAAGCTGAATAAACCCTTTCTTCCCCAACTTGCTTCTTAGTCATGATGTTTGTGCACAAATAGAAACCCTGCCTAAGACACACTTTCATTTATTTCTCCTCTAATGTTAATTATTTCTTCTGACTACTTTGAGTGAATTCACCCTTCCTTTTATAAATTCCTAAAGTAGAAGCTTAGGTCATAAATTTCATTTATTTATTTTTAAAGATTTACTTTTCAGGGTGTTATGAAACCCAACACCTGAAAGTCTGAGGTAGGCAGATCTCTGTGAGTTCAAGGCCACCCTGATCTACATAGTTTCAGGACATCTAAGCCTACATAGAAAGATACCACCTCAAAAAAGAATTATGTCTCTGTGTTTGCACACGTGTGTGCAGGTGCCTGCAGAGGCTAAAAGACAGTCTGAGTCACCGTGGGAGCTCTTGACTGCCGAGCCACTTCTCCAAGCCTGACCATGGGTTTAGATTAAATATATGCCTTTAATGCTGGAAGAACCCTCATAAAATCTTTTGCTGCAGCCTACAAATTTAACTAAAACACAGTCTGTGTTTAGTTAAAAAAAATATTTGCAAATTGCTTCTGGTGTAGTGTGAGCTCAGGTGTTTCTGGTCTGATCATGTGCAAGTTACACACACCTGTGCTTGCTCACACCTGTGGTCTTCCTTCTCCCAGCTCTGTGAAGAGCTTTTGTTTTTTCAGTTTGCTGAGGATTTTGCTTGTTGTGGGCAACAGCTGGGCTTCCTGGAGCTTGGACTAAACACCAGAAGTCCCGTATTCTTCTTTTTAAACATTGTCTTAATTTTATTTATTTATTTATTTATTTATTTATTGAGTGTATGTATGTATGTGGACACATGCATGCCATGACGCACGTATGGAGATCAGAGGACAACTGCAGGAGGCAGTGGTCCCAGTGAGCAATGTCTGGCCACCAGACTTGGCAGCAGGAGCCTTTATCTGCTGAGCCAATACAGCATCTGCTTCTTAATATATTTTTAATGATTTTTTTGAGAATTTCATAATGCATTCATTTTAATCCCCTTCACCCCCTATTTCTCTGCCAGACTGTCCCCAGATCCCCCATACTCCTCACCTGCTGGGTACTTCTTGTTTACTTGAATTTTTACAATAAATACATGTTAACCACACTCAGAAATTCATATTAAGGGCTGGAGAGACGACTCACTTAATGCTCTTGCAAAGTCTGGGTTCAGTTCCCATCCTCCACATGGTAGTTCACAACCATCTATAACCCCAGTTCCAAGGAATCTGAGACCCTTTTCTGAACTCTGCATGCACCAGGCACAACATGGTAACATACATACTTGCAGATAAACACATACATAGAATTTTTTAATTTAATTCACATTAAGGTCCCATCTAGATGGCTCAATGATAGAAGCACGTGGCATGCAAGCCCGGTGACTTACAGGGTTCGATCCCGGGAACCCAAGTCACTGTAATCCTCACAGTCCTACTGTGTAGATGGGAGAACGACAGAGAAGCTCACAAGCCAGCTATCCTGCAGCCCCACCGAGACAAGAGAGACCCTGCCCCAAACAAGGTGGAAGGAGAGAACCAACCCTGGAAAGTAGGGTCATGTGTGTGTCCATACATATCATCATAATAAACTTGTTTGAAAAAACATTCAAAGACATAGGCCACTCCTGAAACCAGACTATATGGCTTCTCTGCTCTCTGGGCTTTTTATTCACCTGTGACAGCTTGGCTCAGAGGACAGTCTACCCTCCCTACTCTTTCCCTAGATGAGGCGAAGGAGGAGTTCCGGGATCTGCTTGACATGTTGCTGTCCCGAGCTCAGATGTTCATACCTCGACTGGTGCCGATGGAGGACTTCCACCTCAGCCTGTCTCAGAGTGTGGTTCTTCGTCACCACTGGATCCTCCCCTTTGTGCAGGTGCTCAAAGACCACATGGCCCCTTTCCAAAGGTGAGTGCTTCCCTTTTCTGTCAGTCCTTTCCTGGGCTTTAGTGGTATTGGAGGTGGGCATGGTACCCAGCAAGCAGGCCAGGCCTAAAGGCCTCCTGAGACTGCTGTGCTGCCCATCCAGTGTGAGGCAGTCACCTCACGTGAGCTCCTCCATAGTCTGTGTTGAATACGGAAGCCCTACTGTCTGTCTCTAAGCTCCCACCTAGGATTTACAGCACTCCTGTTGCCAGATATGTAAGCGCTTCTCCCAAACCTGCACTTCTGCAACTCTCCAGATACTAACTGGGCGTCCTACAGGGTAGCTCAGTTCTGACACCAATATCCCAGAGTTAGTGCAGCCTCACAGGCTAAGGACTTCATCCCGCAAGTTGCTCTCTACAGTAGATGTCAGCTGCGCAGTAGGTCCCTTTTTGTTACAAATCAGAGCTTCATATGATACCTCCCTCCCCTCCTATTGACCATTTGCTAGAAGGACTCACAAAATTCAGCAAAGCAGCTCACCTCCTGGGTTTCCAGGTTGTTGGGGGTTTTGTTTGATTTTCCAATTTGTTTGCTGAGACAGGCAGGCTCTGTAGACCAGGCTGGCTTTGGATTTATAGCAGTCCTGCCTCAGCTTCCTGAGTGCTAGCCTGGGCGTAACCCGCCACCCCAGACCTACAAACTACACACGTGCTGTGTCACTGAGCTCCACCCCGTCCTCACAAAGGAGATTATAAAGCTGCAAGGAAGAGCAATGGGAGAGGCACGTAGGGGGGTTTAGGAAGGGCACATCTGGCACCACGTCAGTTTTCTCTACACTCTTAGGGCATCTCTGCACTTCCCTAGTTTTTACTGCTACTGAAATGCCTTGTCTGCTCTTCACCAAGCCTTCTCCAGTTGATCCCTTAGTGCCCAGAGTCCCCTGGTCCTGCTGTTGTTATGGCCCAAGGGTTTGTCCCACTCACCCACACGCACTCATTCCCATGACCTGCCCCTCTTGTGGAGCCGGAGCTCCTCCTTCTGGGACACTGGCTTCTCTGAATGCTCATGGCCTTCTTCAGGAATTCTGGTTCTTCATTAGGGGCTTGCTCAGGATTGAGTAAAGAGGTTCTTTCTTGGGGTTCTCTGGATCCTCTGAGGGCTAGTTCTATATAAAGAACTCACAAAACTACCTTGTTAGTATTATTTCTGAGTCTGATTTTATCTCAGAGTCTGTCTTAGTTAGGGTTTCTATTACTGTGAAGAGACACCATGACCACAGCAACTCTTATAAAGGAAACATTTAATTGGGGCTAGATTCGTTTCAGAGGTTTAGTCTGTTATCATCATGGTGGGAAGCATGGCAGCATCCAGGCAGACATGGTGCTGGAGGAGCTGAGAGTCCTACATCTTGATCCACAAGCCCCAGAAAGAGACCGTCACACTGGGTATAGCTTAAACATAGGAGACTTCAAAGCCTTCCTCCACAGTGACACCCTTCCTCCAACAAAGCTATACCTCCTAAAAATAGTTCCACTCCCTCTGAGTCAAGCAATCAAACACAGGAGTCTGTGGAAGCCAAACCTATTCAAACCTCCACAGAGTCTTTTTTTTTTGGGGGGGGGGTTTGGTTTTTGGTTTTTCGAGACAGGGCTTCTCTGTGTAGCCCTGGCTGTCCTGGAACTCACTCTATAGACCAGGCTGGCCTCGAACTCAGAAATCCGCCTGCCTCTGCCTCTGCCTCTGCCTCCCAAGTGCTGGGATTAAAGGCGTGCGCCACCACTGCCCGGCTCCACAGAGTCTTTTTTAAATTTTTTTTTATTTTATGTTATGAGTGTTTTACCTGCATATATGTATGTGCCTGTACTGATAGAGGTCACAAGAGAGCTCAGAGATCTGGAAGGTTGTGGGCCACCATGTGGACGCTGAGACCTGAACCCCAGTCCTCTGCCAAAGCAGCCAGTGCTCTTACCCTCTGAGCCATCTCTCTAGCCATATCTGCAGAGTCCTTCTTCATAGACACCCCTATGAAGGCATGAGATGGGTGGAAATAGAAGTCTTCTAGTGAAAGCCAAACCCCGCTGCTTAGGGGGTCTGAGGCTCAGAATTCTGGAGTGTGGCTCTTCCAAATGGAAAAACTCCTCATTTGGTTGAGGAGGAAAGAATTTGCACCAGGGTGGTCAGTGAGAAAACAAGGACTAAAGCACACCTCAGTCTAGCCCACTGTGACTGCCTCTGTGTAGTATCAGGACTGTCACAGGTGCCAGAACCCAACCTAAATTGGTTCTGAGATAGCCCTAGCTTCATGAATGAGCAGATGGAGGTAGCCAGAAGATGTTACTGAGTCATGCTGTCTCAGCTCTGTCCCCCAAGGTTGGCTTCCTTCTCTCAATGACAAGGGAGCCATCAGTATGTGTGTGTATGATTTTCCTGTATATGAATATAGGCACATACATACCACAGCATGCATGGAGAAGTCAGGTGTTGGTCTTTGCCTTCCACAGTGCTTGGCATAGGTTCCCTTGTTGTTCTGCTGTGTCTCAGATTACCTAGTCTGAGGAGTCTTCTGGTCTCTGATCCATCTCCAGATGGAAGCACTGGAGTTACAGATGCTTATGTTACTGTGTCCAGCTTTACAAGGGCTCCAGAGCTTTGACTGCATCCTCACACTTGTCTGGCAATGACTTTTACCCACTGACTATCTCCCCTACCCTTCTGGCTCTTTTGAAAACATGTTTATTGGACTTGAGAGGGGATGCCTCAGCAGTTAAGAACACTGGCTATTCTTTTTTTTTTTTTAAGATTTATTTTTTTTATGTATATGAATACATTGTAGCTGTCTTCAGACACACCAGAAGAGGGCATCAGATTCTATTGTAGATGGTTGTTAGCTACCATGTGGTTGCTGGGAATTGAACTCAGGACCTCTGGAAGAGCAGCCAGTGCTCTTAACCACTGAGCCATCTCTCCAGCCCCCAACACTGGCTATTCTTACAGAGGACCTGGGTTCAGTTCCCAGCTCAAACTGTCTGTAACTCTAGTTCCAGAGGCTCTGATGGCTCCTTCTGGCCTCCATATGCACTCTATACATGTGGTCCACAGACATGCATGCAGGCAAAACACTCACACAATTTTAAAACACGTTTTAAAGTGTGCATGGAGGGTAGCACATGTACATACATGTGTGTCTGAGGGTCTGTGCCTTTGTTGAAGCCAAAAGAAGGCATCAGCTGTCTTCTGTCATTCTTTGCCTATTCCTTTGAGGCAGGGCCTTTTTCAAACCTGGAGGTTGTGTTTTCTTGGCTAGGCTTGGAAGCCTGGAAGCCCCAGCAATCCCCTTCTCTCCCCTCCCCTCCCATCCCCTCCCCTCCCCCTCCCCTCCCCTCCCCCTCCCTCTCTCTCTCCCACTTATAGCTGAGGTTACAGGTGTACACAGGATGCCCAACTTGGTAGATGGGTCCTGGTATCAGAACACCAGTCCTTATAGTTACACAAGTGCTCTTAATCACTGATGACTGTGCCAGTTCCCCGGGTGGTGGCAGTGGTGGTGGTAGTGGTGGTGGTGGTGGTGGTGGTGGTGGTGGTGGCGGTGGTGGTGGTGGTGGTGGCGGTGGTGGTGGTGGTGGTTGCCTAATAGTTTCAGCAGCTGTCATGGGAACATAACTTTGGTTAGTCTGACTCTGTTTATCCTCTCCCCTTGTGAGTAAAGAATGGAAAAGCCCTTTCCCTTTGTTTTAGAGAATGCTATTTGGGGGAGGTATTCAGAGGACTGCTTGCTTTGTTTGTTTGTTTGTTTGTTCTTGACAAACCTTTACTATACTTGAGATCTTCTGTCTTGGCCTCCTGAGCACAAGACCGCAGACATCTATCACCATCCCAAGTGAAAGATCTGGTTTTTAAAATATGAACTATTGTTTTCTTTCTTTTTTCTCGAAATATCTTTCTTCTTTTAAATTTCAGGTTCTTCTTTACTGCCAACAGGGTAAAGATTTATACCAATCAAGAGAAAACCAGGTGGGTCCCTGACTTAAGCCACCAGAAGGAGATTATCTGTTGCCACGATAGAGGAGCTGCACTGTGTTCTCATCTGTATCTGTTGGCCAGTGCTTCCCAAACCCACACCTACTCAGGAGAAGAACTTGGGGATTTCAGGGGCAGTACAGATGTAGGAGCTATCTCAGTACAGAGCCGGCTGTGAAGGTGGAGACCTGTCCTTGTCTCATTCCCTCCCTGTCGAGGGATGAGGTCCTGTTACCTTCCTTCCTATACCGTCTCTCACTTCCCCATTGGCAAATGAGCCAATGAGGTTTGAAGAGTTACAAGTCCTAAAGCATTTAATAAGGAAAGGTGGCATTTTTATCTGCAGGGCCTCCCTGTCCAGTCCGTTCACCAAGCCCTGCCCCTCAGCTGCTCTGAAGGGACTCACTCTCCCTTCATTGTAGGCTCTCTAGCTTTATAAGCTGAAGACTGTCCAGGTGTGGGGAGCCGACCATGTCTGATATTGTCAAGCATGTGAGGACAGGATTTGTGGCTTTGGTAACGTAGAAATCATTATACTCATTGGCCACTTGATAAGAACATTTCCGAGGGAGGGTTAGATGGGAGACCAGACTCCATGGGAGGATTTAGTACTAAAGTCAGAGTTCTTAGCACCTGCTGGAAGAAGTGTATACCAAAGAACAGAGCTTTGAGAGGGCAATGAGTCCACACGGTCTGCCACAGAGGGAGAGGGAGAGGATGGTGTATGCAGCGGTAGATGAAGGCGACCCTGCAGGGTTTCCTAGACACGAGAAGAGACAGCTAGTGAAAGGAATAATTTAATTCCGGAAGGAAGATGGATTGAAAGAGCTGGTTCATGCAGCAGCAAAGACATGCACAGGAAGATGGGACAAGGCACAGCCCAAATCCTAGGCTTCCTGTTGGCTACCTCCTGCTCCTATATGTGTGGTTTGTGCTCATACACTGCATTTTATGTCCATGTTGTCTCCACTGCCTCTTCCTAGGACCTTCCTTGGACTCGAGGTCAGTTCAGGGCATGCCCAGTTCCTGGACCTGGTTTCAGAAGTGGACAGAGTCATGAAGGAATTTGACCTCACTACTTTCTACCAGGTAACGCACGGGGCTGAGGAAAGGAAACACAGATGGTTATGGTTTCTGCCACAGGGCTGCTGCTCTGGCAGCCCCAAAACAGAGCATCCTCAAAGAAGCCCCATCAGAGGCAACTAAAGAGACCTCCAGAACTTCCTATGTGGAGGGAGCCCTGAGTGCCGGAGCATAGGACTGGAGTTCCAGGTGTCTACCCAAAATCTAACATTTCAAAAAAGTGACCCTTCAGGAAGAGCTGTAGTTTTACAGTCTCATTGTACCTTCCCTATGCCCTCCTGGGTCTCACAGCTGTAAAAGTCACTTAGCTGAGTGTCACAGCTGTAAAAATCCATTGATTCTATTCGGTGTGTTTTTTAAAACCATGCCCAGGTGTACAGTTATTTTTAAATACAGATAACTCTTGTTTCTTCAAAATTGTTGACATTTTGGAGTTTTGTTCATTTAATCTGAAAAGTATGGCCTCTGCTGAAATGTTCTAGATCAGAAAGTAGAGTTATTGCCAGGTAGTATATGCCTTTAAACCTGGAAGCTGGAAGTCCAAGATTCAGGGTCCCACATGGTTGGTCTCTGATGAAGGCTTTGGCGGTCCCTCACTGTCCTTTCCTTGAGGATGGAAAAGAGAACACAGCTCTCTACCCTCTCCTTTCATTTTTAATTGTTTTTGTGCTTATGGATGTTTTGCCAGACTCCATGTCTGTCCACCATGTGCATGCAGTGCCCTTGGAGGCCATTAGAGGGTGTGATGTCCCCCTGGGACTAGTGTTACAGACACTCCTTAAGGAAATTTGTTAACCATCAGGTGAGTGCTGGGGATCAAACTTCTGTTCCCCAGGAGAGCTGCTGTTGTTCTTAACCTCTGAGTCATTGCCCCCATATCTTTTTTTCTAAGGGCACCACCCAGTGCCCTACTTAACCCTAGTTACTGCTAAATACCATCACATTGGTCTTAGGCTGTCACTATTGCATTTGGGGGAGGAAGAGAGGCACCAGCGATTATGCCTGTGTGGGCAGGGGACTTGGCTTCAGCACTGGGGCAGCCAGGGATCCTACAGGTAGACCCAGCAGGACTGTCATAGACCTGCTGGGGGGATGGGCCTGCCATGCTATCCAGTGGTGGCCTAACTCCCAGCTTTTCCCCCCCTAGGACCCTTCATTTCATGTCAGTCTGGCCTGGTGTGTGGGTGATGCTCGTCTCCAGCTGGAGGGACAGTGCCTGCAGGAACTACAGGTGAATTTCCAGAGCAGGGACACAGAGCACTGAGCTAAAAAATGTTGGGATGAACAAATGACAAAGGGAAGGAATGGGTACTCAAACCTAAGTCTGTAGGAAACTGAGTGGCAAGGCTGGAGACCCTCCTCCCTCCTTCCTTCCTGCTCAAAGTGTCATCCCTGACCCAGCAGCAACAGCAGCAGCAGCTAGGGGCTGAGTAGTGAAATAGGTGCTCTGACCCCACCCTAGACCTGGAGCAGCAGAATTGCATTTTAGCAAAATCTCTAGGGCTTCATGTGTCCTGCTTTTCAACCCTGTCATGTGAAGAGGCTGGAAACCCGCCCCTCAGCCCCCGCCATTTCTCTGAGGTCAGAGGTTTGGGTCTGGCAGTTGGAAATGGAGGAAGAATGTCAGGTGCCCAGAGCCTCCAGCCCTCAGAACCTGTTGGACTCTGGGTCTGTTTTTGAGACAGGGTCTTACAGTCTCCTTGCTTAGGCTGGAACTCAGTGTAGAGCAGGCAAGCCTCAAGCTTACAGTGCTCCTTTATCTCTGATTTCTGGGATTTCAGGCATGTGCCACCATGCTAGGCCACATTTTGATAGCATGTGCAACAGGTAGCCTTCCTATCAGTGCCCTGGAAGGAGAATTTTCAGTGCACAGTGCGTGGCAGCTGACACCCTGCCCTGGCAGTGCATGAAGGCAGTTGGCAGTATGGCCCGTTGTTGATAGCATTTCTGTTTTTCTCAAGAGTAGCCAGAAATCCAGATTTTTATGTACAGTCTTCTTTCTTGTGTTGGCAACTGATTAGGATTTTTGAAAAATATTTTGCAAGTCAAAGGCCATGGTCCATCATCTCTGTAGGCACCTTCCCCTCGGCCTGAGCATATTGAAGACAGCAAAGAGCTCTGATGTCTAGCTCCAGTAGAGCCTAGACACAAACCAAACCAAGCTTCATAGTAGTCACCGTCCCCAGGGCACTGTGTCCTCGTCTGCAAGCTGAGACAATAGGCCCACCTCATACGATTGTAAGATGATGGGATGCATGACCGGGGACCCTCTCAGAATTGCCCAGTTCACTGGTCTGCTTTTGTTTGTGGTGCTCTGGGTCTGATTCCCCTTAACATAGCTGTCATCTCCCTGCTGCTGATTGAAGGAAATTGTGGACGAGTTTGAAGACTCTGAGATCCTGTTACATGTGCTGGCTGAACAGGTCCGCTGCAAGTCTGGGAACAAATTCTTCTCGATGCCTTTGAAGTGAGCCTTGTCCCATGCCTCTCCTCAGGCAGACTGAGATGGAGGAGCCCACTGCTGTTTGTGGGACACCCCGGCAAGTCCTAATCACACACTTAGTACTTACTGTTCTAGTGGGCTGCTCACTCTCTGCTGGTCCACTTGGGTTGTAGGTTGGTAGGCTGCTGCTGTAATGTGGTCATTTCCAGAAATCACCAGTAGAGGGCAGCCCGGACCTCTAATTCTTCCTCCGCTAGTCTTAGGAAAATGAACCTCGCTGGGGAGCCCACCCACACTCAGTCCCCACCGAGATCTCTCCACTGCAGTAATCCATATTGATGCCATTGGCCATCAACCAGTTTTTAAGATCCTTGCATCCTGACCCACCTCTGTCACAATGGGGCTTCTGAGAGTCTGTCTTCCTCCTTTGAATCTCCTTTATTTATCACCTCGTCCCTTCATCCTGTTCTGTGCCAGGAGAGGTCATTTTAGGGCCAGGGCACAGGGTGCTAATTTGTGGTCAGCAGCAGTTTTCTTCATTCCTTCCTCCCACTTACCCAGCCAGGTGCCTGGGGAGAGCCCCGCAGATGTTTCATTTTGGCCTGGCTATGGCTGCCAGCCAGGCCTCCAACACCCATGACCCCTGCTTTCCCCATCAGCTTTCCCAGAGGCGCAAAGAGGTGCCTTCCCTCCATCCAGAACACCCCTCCCCTGTTGCTGAACATTCTCCGGGTTGGGTGGGAAGTGGAGAGAGAGCCAGGGAGGCAGAGGAGAATCTATTTTCCATCAAGCTCCTGTCAGGGCAAAGAACCAAGCCTTTCTAGTAGTTGTCATGGGGATTTCTAGTGATGGATGAAGAAATATATTTTACAGTTTTAAATTATGTTCAACAAATTAAATCTGCCTTTTTAATGTGGTGTCTTATTTTAAACTACTTCTACTTAAAAAGGTGCCTCTGATCTCCCCTCCAGCTGTGCTTCACAGTCCAGGGGCTCTTGGGAGGCTGTTACAACTTTAAAGATTTTTATGTATCTGTTTACTTTAGCGTATGTATGTCGTGTACATGTGTGCGTGCAGGCACATGAGTTCTGAGAACAGCACTCAGGAGACAGTCCTCTCCAAGCACTTCATGGGCTCCAGGACAGTCCTGGGTAGGTTTGAGTCCCTCCCCCACATGGCAGCTCATAGCCATTCTGACTCCAGCCCCTCTCCGGCCTTCTCAGTGCCAGGCATGTACGTGGTGCTCATACTTGCAGGCAAAACACCCAGACCCATACAATTTTAATTTAAAAGTGGGTGCTGGAGAGCTAGTTCCGGCAGTAATGTTCTTGTTCTATAAGTATCAGGCCCTGAGCTCAGTCCTTAGAGCCCATCGTTTAGAAACTGCCTTTGTACCAAATACTTGTAATCTCTGCACTGGGGAGGCAGAGAGACAGAAGGAACCCTGAGCCCACTCACCAGCCAGCCTCACGTGTTTGTCAAGCTCTAACCAATGAGATACTCTGTCTCAAATAACAATTGGATGGCCCCTGAGGAACACCACCTAGGATTGACCTCTGGCTTACACGTGTGCACAGTCAAGTATGCATGCGTGTCTGCCTCTGCACACACATACACAAACATCCCCCTACACAAGAAAATAGGAAAGGAAGGTGGGGTTGCCCTGTCTGCCCAGACTTCACCAGTGACACTGCATGTAAAGCATGGAACCTGGGTTTTGGCATGTCCCAGGGAGATGCCATCCTCACTCCTCCAACATTCCATTTAGACTTTATCCCAGATGACCTATACAAAGCCCTTCCTAGGCCTTCATAGCTGAGCCTGAGGGACAGAAACTGGGTAGAGGTAATTACTATGGAAGAACAGTTACGTGGCTTGCCTGAGGACATGAGAATGTTAGGACTTGACTCAACCCTAGCCTCAGCTCCACCATGATACAGCCCAGACCATCTCGACACTTACCTCCTGCTCAGGCCTATGGCTCTGGGTCCCACTTTGTGACTCATGTCCCCACAGCCCAGCCTTTCCCTAGCCTTGTTCCCCTAGTGCCACCACAGCAGTCTACTGGCTTCGGCTAACCTGTTTGGTGCCAGTGGCATCAGAGGTCACACTGGAGAAGAAGCTAGGCATGTTTCTCTAGCCTGCAGGCAACACGGTAATCCTAGCTTCCCAAGTCACATGACTGACGCCTGTTCTGTGCCAGGCCCTGAATTGGGCCATAGAGTAACCCATGTCTGGCCCTCTGGGTGATCAAAGGGAAAAGCAGGCAAGGTGCGCTGAGTAGAATCCCCAGCCCCTGTACTTGTCTAAACCACTGAGGGCTGCTCCCCTGGGAGAGGATGCGGCTCTGTGGCTCGTCTGTGCTGAGAGCGGAGTTAAGTGCAAGCACTTTGAGAAATGGGCCAAGATCATTAAGCAGTTCTTCAATAGAGAATGGAGGTGGCAATGGAGGAAGAAAGTCTGAGCTTTGCTGAGGGGGATGGGCATGTAAGCTGCGCCTAAGGAGGCTGGCAGCCTTTGCTTGGCAGGCACCCAGACATGCAGTGTGCCACCAGAGTGGAGCGCTGACAGTGCAGAAGCAGCTGGGGCTCTTCCCTTCCAAAAGAGGAGAAGCGCTCCAGAAACCCAAGAGACAGCTGGAGATGGACGGCCAGAGCAGGCCTGTCCACCACTAGGTGGGCGGGGTTTGGGGAAGAATTGTTCTTGATGAGGATTTGCTCACGCTCGGGAGAGTACAAAATCAACACATCTGGCTCTGGCATCCTCAGATGTTCCCTGCAGGGCAGGGAAATGCTCATCTCAAGGGCTGGCTGGCTGATCTCCATCTGGCACGAAAGCCTTCTCCTTTGCCTCTTTAGACCACCCCAGCTCTGTTTCCAAGAGAGAGGGAAAGTACTTGGTTTGTTTGTTTCTTCCTTCTCTTGGCACCCACGAGTCCGAAAGACTGTCCTGTTGACCGAAAGGGTCCTGTTTTGCCAGCCTGGCACAGTACCAGTCACTGAAGTGCCCACATAGGAGGCAAGAGCTTCAAATCAACCTTCCCGACCATAGAGGTTTTTATGAATTAAAGCTATGGGGTGGTCTGAGGCATGGGGGTGGGATGGCTAGAGGTCGGGAAACTAGGCCTAATGTGTTGTGCACTTTCAAACCCCACCAGGGATGGGTTTGGGGTGTGTGTGTGTGTATATATATATATATATACATGTATGTTTGGGTGCCTACAGAGGCCAGAAGAGAGAGTCAAGTTCCTCCAGAGCCAGAGTCACAGGTAATTCTGACCTACCTGATATGGGTGCTGGGAACCAAACTCATATCCTCTGACGGATAGGTAACTGCTCCTAACCACTGAGTCATCTCTCCAACCTATTCCAGCCCCTTTGAGCTGCTTCCAAGTCCTGAAAAGCAGGCAACCTATCCTCCCATGACCTTCTCATCAGGAGGGTTACTGACAGCAAAGCTAATGGGCGTGTACCACATAGCTACATACTTCTAAAACTGATAGGAAAAAAAAATCAGGTAATGGGGGCTGGAGAGATGGCTAAAAGGTTGAGATCACGGAATCAGAATCCTCCTTTTACAAACAAGAAAGTAAACCTAGATAGGAAACAAATGTCCCAGATTCCAGTGACATCGACCTGGGGCAGGAACCCAGAGACCTGGTTTGAAATCCAGAGTTTTCTGAAGAATCTCTCACATAACAATCCATTTCCTCTCCTGCCGGATGTGGTGGTATTCGGCTTTAATCTTGGGAGGCAGAAGCAGGTGGATCTCTGTGAGTCTGAGGCCAGTCTGAGCTATAGAGTCAGTTCCAGGACAGCCAGGGCTACACAATGAAACCCTGTCTTGGAAAAACTTTTAGGGGGAGGGGGAGAGAGGGAAAGGGGAAAAGGGACAGAGGGAGGGAGAGGAGGGGGAGGTCCATTTCCTAGAGCCAGAACAACGGGCAATGGAAAAAAACCCATCAGATTTGACTTACCGTAGTCTCTCAAACCTTGCCTACCCACCTGAGGTTTTTATTATTACGAGTTAGCCCCATAAACTCAGTTTTTAAAAAATGGGAATAAATTTTGCAAACAGATGCAGTACACCTGAACAGAAGCTGTTGTTCACCGGACACTGGACATTTCTCAAAATCAATTTTTTAATTAGAGAATTCAGAAGCTGATTTTCCGAGTGAGGGACCCCATCAGTGGAAAGGAGAGAGACTGCCTCTATCTTTTCTTTAATCCTCAATTTCCTTTCCACGAGATGTTTGTAGGCAAGGCACTGGGCATGTTTTATCATCCTTCAGCCGCTGAGTAGGTTCAAACCAGCCATGCCTAAGGTCTTTTGCCAGGTCTCTTATTTCTGAGAGGTGGGAGGGGGGCGGAGGCACCCAGAGAGCCTACTCTAGGAAGGATCCACCCTCAAGTAAGGTAAACACACATTTTTCCTCATCTGTGGGGAGGTGATAAGGTGTGCTGCCCTCTGCCCTGGTTCCCATGGTTCTCAAGTGGCATACCAGTTCCCCCAGTTAACTACACTAGGGCTGGCCTTGGGCTGGATGAAGTTACGGTGGACCTTCAACCCCCTTAACATCCACACTAGAGTAAAAGTTCAAGTCTGGCCCATGCTTCACTGGAAGGTTTGCCCTCCCACCCTGATGGGCCTCATGGACACACTAACTTTCTCATAACAGAGACCAAATAGAGTGGGCTTTGCTTGGAAATGAAATGTGTGCACACTAAGAATTGGAACCCTTAGCCCAACACAGAAACTCAGAAAACTGTAGTAATTTGTTCATATCCGCCCAGCAGAGAGTAGGGATGCAGACTCGCACGCCTTGTAAGCATGCACTTTAGGTTGCATTCAGCACTTAGAGGCGCCCCAGAGGCGCCCTAACCCCAGACTTCTCGACTGAGGAAATTTACTAAAGAGTCTAAGATACTACCGGGCTAACACAGTGCCATAGGTTCACCAAGTCACCGCACTTGACGAATTTGATGGTGGCCAGTGCCTTTACCCGTTGAGCCATCTTACCTGCTCCTCCAACTTCTCCCCCCAGCCCCCAGTTTTATTGCCATGTTTAAAAGCTTAAAGCAGTACTTCAGGTCCTTACCCAAGTCGTTTTCCGGCCCACTTTGATCCGAATGTCCTATCGCCTCCCACCAGGTAGCTGGAGAGATCTACAAGCTGGCCTTCAAGGGAGATCTCGCCTTCTTTGCGCCCTCCCTCAGCAGAGGGTCGAGTTATGGGGTCACTCCTGCTCCCCAGAGAGAGACATAGAGAGAGAGGAGCTGAGCAGGTTAGGAGAGGTTTCCTGCCATCAGGAAAAATGGAGACGTGTCACCCACCTGCCCGGAGACCACAGCCGGCACCTGCTACTGAGAAGCCTCGGGTTAGGTACCGCCCCCAGCCTGCGCCTGGCTTTGCGCACAGGGAGCACACTGGCCCTTTAAGAACGGCGGCTCCCGCCGCGCACTGGGAGTAGGGCTGCGGAGCCAAACTCGCCGGGGACGCCGGGCGCTGGCTAGCTGGCTGGCGGGCTCGTCCTTCTCTCGGGCGGGTTCCCTGCGCCCTTCCCGGGACTGCTTGGGAATCCAGGCCCGATTGGGCGCGGCAGCTAGTGGAGTCGCCAGAGGGAAGCGCGCGCTCTGGGCAGCGCGGGGGACCTTGGGCATGGACAGAGAGAGCAGGGCGCGCAGGGGGCGCCGCGGGACCGGGCGGCCGGAGCGCTGAGCCAGACAAAGGCTCTGGAGTTGTGCTTGCTCTCGGGGGCCGGGGCCAGGGCGCACCGCGCCGACGCTGCGAGACTCTGCGGCGTGCAGCTCGGCCGGTCCCCTTCTCCAGCGGGCGAGTCCCCGCGTGCCCCGACCTGCCCTGGCCGCTTCTCACCCGGTTTGGGAATTTGCAGAGGGGACCTGAGCTGCTCCCGCA